TGGCTTTGACCTAGTTAAAAATGTTTTAAGATAGTCACATTTTTTAAAAAAAAATATCATATGCATAAAACCAACTGTGCAACTACATTGTTGAGAATGTTCAAGGCGGCACACTACAAAAAGTGACCAGCTTAAATACTTGGCACCACTCAGTAAATTTAAGAATTTAAAACAGAAGGTAATTGCAGAATAACCAAAACACACAGCAGGAGACAGTATCCAAACACCACTCCTGAAGTGTGGGAGTGAAAAACTCCGCTCAAACAACACTCCTGAAGTGTGGGAATGAAAAACTCCTGTGAGGCATGCCCGGGAGTTCAAGTTCTCACCGGGAGATTGGCAAGCAGTGCACAAGGTCTGCTGAGTCTGCATGAGTTTGCTGAGAAAATAAACTTGGCTACAGTGGGCAAGATAGGAGAGTTTCAGCGTAAAGAACATTCTGTTAAGAACATACTGTGATCTTAGCTTAGAGTCTTTCTTCTTGTAACGTTTTCACTGTACAGGGCAGAGGGGGGGGGAGAAATGTGTGAGCCTAATAAAACGCTACTGACATCCAGTTCTGCAGAACAGCTTGGGACAGAGAGACAGCTTGAGAACTTGGTCAGAGAGCTTCGACAGATCTCTGTGTGTTGTGTCATTATTGAACCCTCAAACCTACACTGAAGACCACGGACACCAAACGAGAACTTGACTGAACACAAATTAACTCGGCCAAGAGCAGTAGCTGGCAAGCCACTGAGGGTCTAAGCCAGCCCTTCACGACAAGTGTTTTTAAAGGCTTCACAAAAACAAACAAAAAGGTCATTCAAACTCACTTGGAACGGGAACGTCTCCTGTTGTCATGCCGACGTCGAGATGGGCTCGGAGAACCTGAGGAGCTGCTGGAGCTGGAGCTTCGTGACGTGCTGGAGCTCCCAGAACGGCTTGATGCCGAGGAGGAACTGGAGCCACTGCTGGAGCCAGTGCTGGAGCTTGACCCTGAACTGGACGTGGAGCTAGAGCGGGATCTAGCGGGGAAAAAGGTGCCAGAACAGATCACACAAAGGAACTTAGAGGTCTTCTCCCGATAACTAGAGAGAACTTTTAATGGATGTTTGCACTTATTTATTTAAAATGGATTTATATCCCGCCATCCCTGAAGGCTCAGGGCGGCTAACAACGAGGCACAAGCGCTAGAATTAAAAACGGATAAAACAGTCTAACAGTAAAACAATATAATACAACACACAAAGTGTCAGTGCAAGATGGGGTAGATCTTAGTCGAATGGCATTGGTCCCGCAACTTGTCATCCCCTCTCCTTCCAGGGTCACCTCGCACCCAGATGGAACCACATATTGGTGGTAGTGGTGCGATGCTGCATACATATATTGGTGGTGGAATTATAGTGGCGGCGGCTCCTACTCGAAAGCCTGGTGGAAGAGCTCCGTCTTACAGGCCCTGCGGAACTGAGAAAGGTCCCGCCGGGCCTGTATCTCCGCCGGGAGCTCCTTCCAACAGGTAGGAGCCACCACCGAAAATGCCCTGGCTCTAGTAACAGCAAATTTAACATCCCTGGGGCCTTAAACTTCCAGGAGATGTTGACTCCCCGACCGTAGTGCCCTTGGGGGAACATATGGGGAAAGGCGGTCCCTTAGGTAAGCCGGACCCTGGCCATATAGGGCTTCTAACTATTGCCTGCCTGCTTCATTCTCCCACGTTTGGAGCAACTACTCCAACTGACAAGTTGCATGGTGTGTACAAACCCCATGCAAATTAACAATGCCTTCTTTTGATCTGGAAAGAGGAACCAGAGTCCAAGACTGCTTGCATTTTTTGCTCCCATCAATCCCACACAGTCCAAAAATTGGGTTGTGGGAACACCCCAGTGTCCCTGTATTGCATGACACAGCTTCCAGCACACACACACTCCCCAGAAGCTCATGAACAGGGCAGGATGGATACAGACACTCTGCCCCATCCCCCCACTTGTTTTCAGTACATGAAAGTCCGGAGGATTTGCCGCCTCCAAATAGGAAAGCCCTTGGTAGCCGGCTCCTTCCTAAGCCTCCTAATTCCCAACAACTGTGACTCACCTGGTGCTGCTGCTGCCACTGGAAGCGCTTCGCCTCTTTCGGGCCTTGTCTCGCCCGCGGTCCTTTTCACCAGATTCCTTGGTGGCTGGTTTGTCCTTAGACCTGTCCTTGGATTTTTCTTCAGTCCGGTCTTTACGCTTGCTGGGAGAGGGAGCCCTTCAAAGAACGGAAGTTCAGAAACTCAGCATCTGACTTTCCTTGTCAACATAAAGCAAAAGAAGCCCATTTCTACAGGGTTGGAATGCTAGACAGGAATTCCCAGCATTTCCATTAAAGAGCGGCTTCACAAAATAAAGCCAGTGGCAGGAGGGGCACTGAAGTTATAAAAAGGGAGGGGAGATGCATTGCTAATTCCTCATGCTTGCTGGGAAAGCCCTAGGAGACTGTATAGCCGCCGCCGCCCCTCAGAAGGGTTAGGGCTTTGAAAAAATCAGACAATTATTACCTAGTGCTGGACTTTTTATTATTTTCTTTGATTCCTAGCAAACTCTTCTTTTTCATTCCTGACAGCTCCATTTCCCCTTCCGAGTCCAAAAGCAGCACTGCGGGGGACACACTTAATCTGACCTCTTACTTCTAACTCCTTGAGTTTGAGAAACGATCCCTAAATCGCGAGAAATAAACTCCAAAGAGCAGCCTGGTGACGAGATAAAAGGATTTAGAGACAATTAATATATATACATACAGGCAGAAGAAACCCGCTTCTCAGGGAGGGGAAAAAGGCACAAGCAACTGAGACATTTGTGCATGCAAAATACCATCTGTAGCCAAATGACCATTACAACTGATTCTCCCCTTTTAAAATAGGCACTAGCTTGTGTAAGCAGCTTGCGGGGTGTATTTTTTTAAAAAAACAGCTCTTGAAACACTCTTCTAAACACTTTCATATAGGAGGAAATATGAGCAAGTGAAGCCGTGAAGCTCAGAGGAACTGTATGGAGAGGTCTGAGGGTTTGGCTTTTGTACATCCACTATCCTCAGACAGCCCATATTCAAAGTTCCAATCCATCTCCTGTATCTTTGAAGTTTCCTTTTACAGTCCTGCTGTCCTATTAAGAAGAAGCTGAGCAACCAAGTGTCAGCACACAGCTGCAGTTAAGGCAGACCTTTAAACTGTCAGAAAGGTTACAGAGTACAGCCTGTCTGTCTAATAATCGCTATTCTCACTCTCTCTGTGTTGGGATTCTCAGGGAGAGGAAGATAAACTAACCAAGACTCCCACAATTTTGTTATGCAGCAAGTCCAGGCCAAAGGTGCATCTTTGGGCACTTAAGAGGAAACTATCCCCATTTCATAACTAGAGGAACCCACCAGATTACAGAGGTCAGATCCCCCGACGTCTGAGTAACCGAGGCCCCGTTCACACGAAGCATTTGCCCCACTGAAGGCACGGGAGTCCCGCGGAGTACCCGGGCGTGATCACACGGGAATATCTGGGAGGCATAGCACTCCCGTGGTGACCCCGTGGCAAGCCGCAGAAGCCACGCAGTAAAAACCTAGTACATTGCATGTACTAGCAAACGCTTTGCCACGGGCCGCCTATGGAAGCCTCCCGGCGTGATTGTGCCGGCGAGCGGCTTCCTCCCCCGTCGTCCTTTTTGCTGTGGAGAAGCCGCCGTCCCGTCTGATCGCATAATAGTGCATCAGAATGCGACGGCGCAAATAGCTGCGCTTCCCCCTCCGCGTTTTCCGGCCCGTGTGACCGGGGCCTGAGTTGGTTACTTATACCTAAACCACAGCCAATCCGCATGGGATACATGCACAATGGGCTCAAAGTTACCCCCACAACTGAGACAATGGCTCAGACTGTCAGTCTAATCCAAGAGAACCGAAGGGGGAACGAGCTTCAGGAAATATGGCTGGTACATGTTCCTGTCTAAATGTACGGAAGCAGCTCTCTAGTAGCCAAGACTCATGGTAACATCAGGAAATGTCTGAAAGGCCAAGCATTTGATTCTTCTGTGCCAGTTCCTGTGCATGACTACTCTCATGTTAAATTCCCAAAGCCAAGCAATCAGAGTGTGTTTTGACAGGCATACTGATGGCAGTAAGATTTCACGCCTGTAGCTTAACTACAGTGGATGGAAATACCGAGCATCATTTTACTGCCCAGTTCTATGCTTACCTAGGAGGTACATACTGAACTCCAAGGCCTTAAAAGGACCAGGTAATTAATGACTGTTACTGGCTCACAGACAACAACAAACCTGTGCATCTGATATCCAAACCCTCACACCACAGAGACTTGCAGATAGCTCCAAAAGAACTCTCCAAACTGGAGGAAATGGCCAGCTAACTGCCAAATGTGATTATTTAAGACTGCATTAGACTAATTTGGAGCTGCGGTGGCTCAAGTGATTAAGACGCTGAACTGCAGGCTGTGGAAGGTCGGTAGTTCAGCAGTTCGAGACCCGAGTGTGCCGCATGACGGAGTGAGCTCCCGTCTCTAGTTCCAGCTCCTGCCAACCTAGCAGTTCGAAAGCAAGAAATTGCAAGTAGATAAATAGGTACCACTTCGGTGGGAAGGTAACAGCATTCTGTTCTGTGCGCCTTAGTGTTTAGTCATGGTGGCCACATGACCACGGAAACGTCTTCGGACAGCGCTGGCTCTTCGGCTTTGAAACGGAGATGAGCACCGCAACCCTAGAGTCGAATTCTACTGGCTTTCGAGCAAGGGAACATTTACCTTTACTTTTAGACTAATTTATTTACTGGCAGTCCTAATTGAGATTTTAAATTGTCGTTTTAATGCGGTTTTTTTTTAATTGTTGCTTTAGCTACATAGTTAGCCATTTTGAGTTCCACAGCGTTTGAAGACTGCCAATAAATGTTTCCCATAGAATCTATAAATAAATGCTACTAAGTGATGCTCTATAGAGCACAGAGAATTGTTCCTCCAATGGGAAAGTCTGATAGGTCCATTAGTAAAAACCACCCCCTCAGCAAAGCTAGCCAGTGTAGTGGGTAAAGTGTTGAACTAGGCTCTGGGAGACCCAGGTTCAAATCCTCACTCTGCTGTAAAGTTCACTGGGTGACCTTGGGCCAATTACACACTCTCTCAGCCCCCTCTACCTAGGACGAGAGATGTGAAGGCCCGGAAAAAACCCGGAAAAATTGAAAAAAGAAAAGAAAAAGATTATGGAACGTTTCATTTTAACATGATGAATAAAATATTTTAAGACAAGGTGTTCAAATATTTTCCAAGTCATTTCTAAAATATATATATATGGTATCAGATTGATCTAATTTCTGTGCACTGAGGACAAGCAAGTCCTAGGTTACAAACTGAACCCTCCAACGCAAGAACAAGATGCATTTCTTCCTTTAGGAGGTGCGATTGTCAGAAGTGAATAAAAAAGTTTCAGTTTTGTTTTTGCATGTGGGTGGGTATTCTGTTTGAAATAATTGTTTGGATACACTATATTTTTAATATGCTAGTTGTGATAATTTCATGCCAAATAAAAATGTCCATAGTCATATTTTATGTTCCTAAAGTAACAGAATGACTTTCAATCTAGAAAAGACAAAAGAAATGCTAATGTAGCATTTTTTCAATTTTCCCCAAAATTTCCATTTTTTTCCGGGGGGAAACGGAAAAAACCCGAGTTTTTTCCCAAGCTTCAAAATTTCCGGAAATTTTACATCTCTAGTTCAGATCCCCATTTCGCCATGAAAGTTTAGTGGGTGACCTGAGGCAAGTCAGACACTCTCACAAAGGGCTGGGTACCCATTAGGGGGAAAGGTGGGATATACATGAAGCAATGGATAAATCAAAGGGGCTGGCCGGTACCTTCCCCTATGGGGAAAGGCTAAACCATTTGGGATTTTAGTTTAGGCAAAAAGCAATCAACAGAGGACAAGACAGATATTTATCAACAATTGAGACAAAGTAGACAGGCGAGGCCATTTTCTCCCCCAAAACTAATATTTGGCGGTCACCCCAATGAAACTCACTGAAAGTAAATTCAGAACAAAAAGAACTTCGCTTCATCACAAATAATTAATCATTTATAAACAGACCCTCTATGTTCAGCGTCATCAGTGATGCTGAAGACATATGAGCTTTCTGGAAGCATCTAGCTAGCCACTCCTGGCTTTAAAGGTTAAAACAACATCAACTTGAAGCGGATCCGGTACTCAACAGGTAGCCAGTGCAACTGATAGAGCGCTGGCTGAATGCATGCCCACAGAGGCATTGCGGTCAGTAGGCAAGCCGCCACATCTTGCACCAGCTGGAGTTTCCGGATCAGGTTCATGGGTAAGCCCATGTAGAGCGAGTTACAGTAATCCAGCCTGGGAGTGACCATTGCATGGGTCACAGTGGCCAGGTCCTAGGCGGAGAGATAGGGAACCAATTTACAAATACCAGTATAAATAAAAGATGTTTTGGGAAGCTGTCAGCTGAGCTCCCCTTCCGCCAAACATCTTTTATTTATACGTGTTTTAAACTGGTATGTTTGGCAAAGCACCAACTGAGCACAGGACTGGTTTGCATGTAAACATGCTGATTTCCTTAACACCTTTTATTATGCCTGTATATCACACGGGAGTTAAGACACTTCAAAAGCCAAAGGAGCTTTTAAAAACACAAAGATAAAGGGAAAAAAGATACACTCACCCTCACACTGAGGCATGATAAAATATTACAAGATGTAGCAATTATGTAATTTGCACAAAGTTTTGTATCATTTCTGTTGGCCCTAACAATGGGCATTATGTGGCTTGTGGTTCAATCATTATCTGCATCATCAGTGCATATACAGCCTATATATAAATATATGTACACACACACAACCTATATATAAATATATGTACACACACACACACAACAGTGAGATACGTGCATAATTAGGCATAAATGAAGATATATATATATGTATGTATGTATGTATGTATGTATCTACCTACCATAGTAATGCCAAATCTAAAATGTCAAATATTTTTACTGTAACTGTAAAGCCATTTCAGGGCACACAGGAAACAAACCCTGGATACTCTCTGGGTTATCTCAGACCCCTTTGACATAATCAGAGAAACACGCGTTGCATCTCTGCAAAATACCAGCCGACACGGGGGGCTTATATGACGCCCCCCTTTCATAAGGAGGGTCCCTGATGGGGCAACCCCCATTTTCCTTAGGCGCACCTTGACTTCAGTATTCTCCCATCACTTAACAAGGAGGCGGGGCCAATGGGCCCTCTCGTGTCTGTCATACACACGCACGCGCGTACACACACAGAGCCTCTCCTCAGGTCTCCCGACACCACCCCAGGCCGACTCCCGAGCAATGCTCCCTCTAAGCTGTGGAGTCCTGTGAGCAAAAATTCTACTTTGTGAGCTCCTGGCGTTAAGGTTGTGAGCAAGAGATTTGGCTACTGCATAGATTAGTTCGCTCTTCCTGAGCAAAGACAAAACTGTGTGAGCTGGAGGCTAAAAAAACTGTGAGCCGGCTCGCACTAATTCAGTTTAGAGGGAACACTGCTCCCGAGCCGCTCTGACGCGCTCCCGCCGCCACCGGCCCTCCACATATGCGCCTCCTCGGCTGCGCGAACGTCCCACACGCACATCCTGCCGCCCTCGCCGTGCTCCCCGGCCCGCCAGAGCCCGGATGGCGGTGGATTCCCCCCTCTCCCCCTACTCACATCCTCAGCCACCGTCCCGTCACACCCCGTCGCGCTCGCTGTGACGCTTTCGGCGTTAGAGCGCCAAGAGCCCGTCAGGCGGCGCGCTCTGATGATGTCACGGAGAGAGCCCGCGTTTTAGCACAAAGATTGGACAGCGAGGGTTTGCGCTGTTGAGACCGTTTTTAAAGGGGACGGAGCAGCCGCTTTAATTTCTAGGCTAAAAGACGGTATTAATTAGTATTTAGGGGGATTTTGCCCAGTCGGTGTCAACTTGGTTACATACTTTATATTAACATATACTTCCTGTGTGTAATTCTGCCATACAATCAATAAATAGTAATCACAATCTATAACAATACCGATCAAAATGAGTGCGAATTACTTAACCCTATTGGAAAATGGTACCCCATTATTGATAAGTTTACCTTTGAATCCTTTGAATGGGAGGCTATACCTGAAGCAAAATATTCACTCTTACTACTTGGTTAATCTTAACTTATTTATTTTGATTTTTGATGTATGTTCATAAAATTTTGTCTTGCCTGACTGAGTATAATATGTCTGTATGCTGAAAACCTGTTATATGTTATTCTGTTCTGTAACGAAAATGAACAAAAGTATTTTGGTTAAATAAATAAATAGTGAGCCTGTTCACAAATTACATACAATTTAGCCTGTTCACAAATTACATACAATTTGTGTAGAGTATACAGTTAAATCCGTGCACTGAATAGTTTTCATGTTACATTCACGTTTACAGCTGAATGTGTGATAGAAATGCCATATTTCTCCAGGCATTGGTCCCTGGTTTCAGTAACAACGGGAACCTACATGCGTTCACTGTAAAGTGAATAGGTCTGGTGCTCCCATCTCCGGTGCAGCCCCCCCGTAGCGTAAGCCTATGCACAGTTAATGCAGTCTACCTCCAATGAAGTCAAGTGGTTTGAATGACTCCATGTAGGACAGCACTACAACTCTCTGGGCAGCATTCTGAAAACAAAATCCTTTCCAAAAAGAAAGTGTGGTCCTGATGAAATGGGCCATGAAAGCTTAGATAGAGGTACAGGTTCCCTTGCTCGAAAGCCAGCCGAGTCCGACTCTAGGGTTGCAGTGCTCATCTCAGTTTCCAAGCCGAAGAGCCAGCGCTGTCCGAAGACGTTTCCGTGGTCATGTGGCCGGCATGACTAAACACCAAGGTGCACGGCTGTTACCTTCCCACCGAAGTGGTACCTATTTATCTACTTGCAATTTCTTGCTTTCGAACTGCTAGGTTGGCAGGAGCTGGAACTAGAGATGGGAGCTCACTCCATCATGCGGCACCCGGGTCTCGAACTGCTGAACTACTGACCTTCCACAGCCTGCAGTTCAGCGTCTTAACCACTTGAGCCACCGCAGCTCCCATGAAAGCTTACCTTACATATAATTTAGGGGCCATGTCTTTTGGTTTTCAAGAAATGGGTTAAAACAATTGTGTCAAAGACAGGCCTTCTGGTGGAGTTTATTAATCATCTTGCTGAGATGATAGCTGGGTGGATGCTTTTGTTTCATTGATTCTTTTATCAGCCAGTCATCAGAAATGAGGTGTAATTCTGGGAGATCCTCAGGTCCCACCTGGAGGCTGGCATCGCTAGGTAGAAGTGTTACATACAATAATTTTAGAGGCTTATCTACTTAGGTCTGTTGCAGTAAAAGCAGAACAGTAGTCATGTGGCGCTTTGAAGACAAACAGATTTATGTCTTTTGTAACTAAAGCCCAGTTCTTCAGAAGCATGAAGTGTATCCTAAGTCAGCATATATACATAGATATAATGGGGGGGGGGGGTTTGTGAGCAGTGAGCTTCAAAGACCATGAAATGCAACAGGATGTAAGAAAAGCACAGGGAGCATTCATAAAAGCTGGGCAAGAAATGCTTCATCTCTATTTAAGCCCTGATTAATAGCAGCAGATACAGAAAAGTCTAGTTTAGCAATTTTGCGCTGTGGTGTCCCATGATCTGAAGAATGGTGGCTCTTGGGGCAGCAGCAGAGTATCCTGGTATACCATAATGTTGCCATTTGTTCCTCGTAGAACAGATAAAAGGAAGTACTTCTTCACACAAAGAGTAATTAGCACATGGAATTCACTGCGGCAAGAAGTGGTTGCAGCTACAAGCATAGACACCTTCAAGAGGGGATTGCATAAACATATCGAGCAGAAGTCCATCAGTGGCTATTAGCCACGAGGTATGAATGGAACGCTACATCCGGGGCAGTGATGCTCTGTATTCTTGGTGCTTGGGCGGCAACAGTGGGAGGGGTTCTGGAGTCCTGGCCCCACTGGTGGACCTCCTGATGGCACCTGGGTTTTGGCCACTGTGTGACACAGAGTGTTGGACTGGATGGGCCATTGGCCTGATCCAACATGCCTTCTCTTCTGTCCTTATGCCTCTTTATTCTTTTACATGGCAACTAAGCTGCTTGTCCTGGACAGTAAACAGAATCTGGGGCTGGTGAGACCCGAGATATTGCACTGGAAGATGAGCAAGTGTAGCTGAGATCATGTAATAATATTGGCTTGAGTGGAGACAGAATTGATAAAATGAATAAATAGTATAAGAAAATGGCTGCTATGGAGAGGTGGACTCCTGCTGAGGTCCTTTCCTTCCCAACCGCCACTAATAACATCAATTACATTAGCAATATCAACTAACATTAACTGAACTGGATAATACAAACTAACTATGCTTGATGCCGAGGGGGGCCATCTTTTGGGAACGTCTATCATGGCCACTGGGCTGTTATTGTCACCAGCACTTTATCTTTATTTTATTCTACTTTATTGTGAGCTATGCTTGTTATAGGGAGCTGCGGTGGCTCAAGTGGTTAAGACGCTGAACTGCAGGCTGTGGAAGGTCGGTCG